TATTTTGATGATTGAGCTACTTATAAAAATGCTTATTTAATTCAATTACAGAAGGTTAAAAATTATTTTGAATAAGAGATTATAAATTAAGGTAGGAAAGTCAAAGAATAAATTCAAGAAGAAATCTCTCAGTAATTAATATCAATTTATTTAGAATTAAACCTATCGAAAATTATCAAAAGAATTAAATAAAAGAACTGAAAATCTTTAATTGGGATTAAAAAACTGGTAGATATATTTGGGATAAATTCTAAATAGCTTTTTAAAAAAGCATACTATATATAAAAGATGGATAACTAATAAGAACGTAGAATTGTATATTTACTTAATTAGGGATTAAGTGAATGACACTTTTTCTTATCAAGACATCTTGACTAATTTAGATTAAATAAACTATCTTAATTGGTCTGGAAACTATGGGAAAAACAACCAAAAAGATGGAAAATGGATAGCTAAATGGAACGGCTAAACTTTGGTTGATATTGGAGGTGATTACTAAGATGGTAAAAAGACAGGCTTATGGAAGGAAATGATAAAAAACATTTGGAGGTAAAATTTAATCATTTACTAAATTACAGTAAAGCTTAAGTATTTGAGGTAGGAGAATATGTAAACGGTCATCGTACAGGAATTTGAAAATTTTTTTACGAAGGAAAAGAAATGTATCAAATGATTACATATAAAATAGTGGAAGCGGAGAATATAACCTTTAAAGTCAAAAGATTGGACTATGGTTAGAGTTAAGTGTAAGTTTTTGTGATTACAACTAAATCACATTCAAGGGTGAATATAGAAATAACTAAAAAGTTGGTAGATGGAATACTTTCTTTTTAAATTAATAGATGTAAGATTTAAAAAAAAAATTAGTAGTGGAGGCTTATATTTTGATGAATAGTAAGGTGGATCAGTTAAAATTGGTAAGTGGATTGAATTGAGAGATAAAATTAATAAGGATTACCTAATTACTTTTAAAGGCGAATATAAAAATGGTATAAAGGTGGTTTAGTGGGATTTATTGATAAAAGGAATTTGGGATGAAGATTTTATAAAAATGTATTAAAATTCTTGATATAAAATTCAATTAGAGGAGGTGGGGAATATAATTATGACTTTTAAGATTTGGCCTAAGGTTCATTTAAAATAGGTAAATGGATTGAGCTATTGATGAGACTAACTTTTATTCCCTCATCCTTTTAAACGGATAATATTAGAATGGGTAGAAAATAAGCAAATGGGTTCAAAATTGGTACAATAATAATAATGAAGAATGTAAAGATATATAAAATTTTATCAATTATTAGAGGCATTATTTTTTGTGGTAAAAATGATATCTATAGATTTATTTAGTGGATGTATTAATTATGATTCAAATGGAAAAGTGGTTTATAGTTGCGAAAAGTATTATTTTTTGAATAAAAATTATAGAGAACCTATAATTTACATCGGTAATTTCATTTAAGGAAAGAAAAATGGAAGATGGGACATATACGAAAAATTTAATAATAGTATTTTTCTATGGTAAAAATATATTTATTGTAATATTTAGTGGTTGTATTAGTTATAATTCAAATGGAAATGAGATTTATAGAAGTGAGAAGTATTCTTTTTGATATCATAATATATAGGGAACCTGTAATATATCTAGGAGATTTTAAAGATGGGGTAAAAGTTGGCCGATGGTAAATTTTGTATAAAGGAAACAATTAGAAAGAATATTAGCAAATGTAAACAAAAATGAAGAGTTTATTAGTGGTGGCGGATTATATGGTGATGGAGGTCAAATTAAAATTGGAAAGTGGGTAGAGTTGGATGAAAGATTCAATGAGGATAAATAAATCACTTATGATGGAGAATATAGTATGAAAGGTCTCAAGGTTGGTAGATGGAATATTTTAAATTTAAATAATGAAATTTAAGAATGGTAATAATCTTGAGTAAATCATAGTGGTTGTATAAATTTTGATGATGATGGGTATGAAATTTAAAGAAGTGAAAAGTAATTAGCTTTTTTAAAATAAATAGTACACCTATTATTTATGTTGGATCATTCAAAAACCGTTTTAAAATAGGTAGATGGGATATTAGATATAAGGGGTTTGATTTCAAAGGAAATTAATTAAAAGAATATCAATAAATGTAAATAAACCTCCGATGATATATTAGTGGGGGTGGAACATATTGCGAGAAAAATTATGTTAAGATTGGAAGGTGGGTAGAGTTGGATGAAAAATTTAATAAGGATAAATAAATTATTTCTTATGGCGAATACAATATGAAAGGCATAAAGGTAGGTAGATGGGATATTAATTATGATAGATAAGGAAATAGAGAATATAAATAAATGTAAATATAGGATAATGATATATTAGCGGTGGTGGATCATATGATAAAGAAGAGACTGGAATTAAGGTTGGAAAGTGGGTTGAGCTGGATTAACAGTTTAATGTGAGAAAATAAGTTTCTTATAATGGCGAATATAATATAAAAGGGAGAAAGGTGGGTAAATGGAATATTAGTGATGATAGATTGGGAAACGGAGAATATAAATAAATGTAAATATTATATGAGTATAGAATAATGGTATATTAGTGGTGGTGGATCATATTATAAGGAAAAGGGTTTGATTAAGATTGGAAGATGGATAGAGCTGGATGAATGGCTTAATAATGATAAAAAGACCACTTATAGTGGAGAATACAATATGAAAGGTAAAAAGGTAGGTAAATGGAATATTCGTTTTGATAGATTGGGAAACGGAGAATATAAATAAATGTATATATTATATGAGTATAGGGATAATGAAATTTTAGTGGGGGTGAATCATATGATAAGGGAGGGACTTAGGTTAAGATTGGAAAGTGGGTAGAGCTGTAGGATTAGTTTTGGAATTGTTAATAAGTCACTTATAAAGGCGAATATAATATGAAAGGAAGAAAGGTAAGAAGATGGGATATTTTAAATTTAAATTTTGAAAATTAATTGTGGTAAATATTATTAAGTATTTTTTTAGTGGTTGTGTAAATTTTGATGATGACGGAATTGAAATATATAGAAGTGAAAAGTAATTATCTTTTTAAAATTAATAGCAAATCTATAATATATGTTGGATCTTTTAAAAATCATATAAAAGTAGGTAGGTGGGATATTAGTTATAAAGGCTTTGATTCTAATGGAAATTAACAAAAGGAATATTAATAAATGTAAATAAATCTAAGTATAGGTGCATAATCATATGGTAGTGGTGGTGGATCATATGGTGAGGGGAAAGACTAAATAAAGATTGGAAAATGGGTAGAGCTAGATGAAGGGTTTACATGGTTGAGATAAGTCACTTATAATGGTGAATATAATATATAAGGTATTAAGGTAGGTAGATGGGATATTAATTATTGTAAGAAAAATGAAAGTGAATACAAATAAATGTAAATATTGTAAAAGTATAGGTGCATGATCATATATTAGTGGTGGTGGATCCTATGGAGAGGGAGAAAATTAGTTTAAGGTTGGGAAATGGATAGAGCTGTGGGAAATGTTTGAAAATTATGCTTTCATTACTTATAATGGTGAATATAATATTAAAGGTATGAAAATAGGTAGATGGGATATTAATTATGATTAAAGTTTAAATGGAGAATATATAAAAATGTAAATGTTATCTTGGCATAGATGAAAAATATTAGTGGTGGTGGTATATATAGAGAAGAGGAGGGTTAGATTAAGATAGGAAATTGGAAATAGATGGTGGATAACATATACAGGTGAATATAATTCGAAAGGCATGAAGATCGGTAAATGGGTCGAAATAGATGTAAAGGAGAAAAAGCTACTAAGTGAAAAATAATATGATAATTGAAATAAAATAATTATATATACACAAAATTTAGCCTAGTACTAAAACAATTTATT